ATTACCTTGCATACGGGGGGTATTCATCGGATGAAAGGGACCGCGAAAGAGGACACTAAAATATACATTTTTTCTTCCGACTGTTTCATCTTAGTATTCTTCTTTGGTTGATCCATAGAAAATCAAGCTTGACAAATTAAAAATATAGGCACGATCCATAAATTAAACATATATTGTTCATGTATTGGACACTGTTATTTTAAATTTGATACATAAACCTTGGAAAATTGGTTTATTATTACGTAGCTACTCAGTTTTACTGTCCTGCCCGTGTTTTTTTTTCAAGTGCACAGAGCGGAGCTAGTGGTGTGTGTGTGATTACCTCTCACCCCAGCAGGCCTGGTTTCAACCCCAGTCGGCGCCGTCGGGATGTTCTGAGGCATAACATCTCTGATCACGCCTTCACGCCCTCACGATCCTTCGGATGGGAAGTAAAGCCGTTGGTCCCCGGTTCATGATTTGATGGGTTGATAGGTAGGGTCCAGGTGTGGGAGCTGCCTTCCTGGCACGTCGGTAGCATTGGTGCTCAGCACGGAAAACAAGATCGACGGATAAAACAAACCAAAGGAAAAAAAAATCTCTGATCACGTCTTCCTTCGGAAAGTAAGGGAGGTAAAGCCGTTGGTCCCCGGTCCATGAGCTCATGGGTCGATAGGTAGGGTCTAGGTGTGGGAGCTGCCTCCCTGACGTTGGTAGCATTGGCACTCAGTACGGAAAACAATATCGACGGACGAAAAATCAAGGAAAATAATAAGCCTCTCAAAGAGCTAAGATTCTAACAGAAACATCCATAGGAATTTTTTTAAGAAGATTATTATAAAACCTTCTTTTGGAAGCTAACGACAAAAAAACTCGGGCAGAACCGTAAATCTAAGTAGCTACGCAGTAATGGAGTAACTTTTTAATTTAAGAAATAGTGTCCAAAACATGAACAAAATATGTCTAATTTATGGATTTTTTTTTATTAGAGACATTTTACACTTGTATTGTGCATTCATGTCTAGTGTTTATGGATCATGCCTATATTTGTAAGTGCGCGAATTTGATTTTCCATGTAACACTTTCTTCAGTTTAAGATTGCTGAATGTTTTATGGGTCTTTTGCAATATGTTTATGGGTAATTCATACAATTTCAGTGCTCATTACATTTGCGGTACATTTTTACAATTCACACTTTTTTAGGGATTTTCACTGAAGTTTTATGGATTATTTAGGTGTTTTTAAATTCACTTTTAAATTTGTTATGGATAATTTATTGGTTTTCATATTCAAAAGTATGTTTGCCACGTGCATGTGTCGGTATCAGGGCACCAACATTTACATGACTTCTTCGTAGTGTGCAGGTTTGCTGCAAAAGTGGAATATCAGGTTCATTGATGTATGCTTTGTGGGTGCTGATATTAGAACCGTTGAAGTTTGCAATGATCATGACATCTATTAGAAATAAACATTCTCAACGATTCACCATGAAAAGCATACATGTTGTTAACGGCTTTAAATATTGGAGCTATTGTTAGAATTTTATTTTTAACTCTTTTGATAATCGAAACTAATTATTTAACTAAATAAATGTTCAGCTCTTTGAAAGTTTTTCTTAGTTCATCTAGGGTACATATCCCTAACCTCGGTCTAAAATGAAGCCATTGATAACATATTATGTCAATATCTTATGTAATTATTGAGTTGCAAACGATATTTCACTGTTAACATTTATGCGTAACCACATTGTTGACTTCTTATTCACTTCTCGCGTAAGAATGTAACAAAGATGAGGAAAAAATAGACAATGTTTTTTTTCCGGTTGATCCAGATAACATAAATCACGATCAAAATCAAAGCAAAATAAACCATCTCACGACCCCACATGTAACGAACTGTTAAGTCAAGTGAAAGCAAGCCGAACTGAATGCATTAGCTCTTAAGTAACATTGACAGATTCAAGCTGAACAATTAATTAGGTCCTAAGTAACATTGACAGATTCTCTTCTTCGACTTTCTCTTTCCATCCTCACGATCATGTAGAGACATTCCCAGCTATTTTCAGCACATCGGAAAGAAGTTACTATCTAGCTTCTAATACGACAAACATGACAAGAAACGGTTATGTACCCAAGTTATTAACGAAAGAGAATGTCGACGAAGAGCATCGATCAATGTTACTTTAAACCCTGATGCATTGTTTGGCTTGATAATTTTTAAAAGGGCCTAATCGGAAATGTAATGCATGATCAAAGTTGAGAGGGTTTGCACTCAAAATCGTAAAAACGTAGATCACTTCCTCGCTTTTCCTAAAAAATCTGTTCAAATATGAGTTGGAACTGACAATATGACAAATGAACTACATCGTTCGGATTAAGGTCGATGTTGTATATTCATCTTGTTAGTCCCAATTTTGTTTACACAATTTTGGGTAGCACTACTTTTGACGAATATGAGTAAATCCTACTCAAATTTGGGTTATTTAGAAATAGCGTGTGTACCGTTTTGACCCGTTTTTTTAACGCGAAGATTGAACTTTCGCCTACGAGATTTTTCAGTGGAGTGAAAGAATAAGAAACGATCCGCTGAGTTTCACGAAACTGACTGTTGCAAATGGGTTTTTTCTATAGGTCGAGGTCAGAGTCTTCGTCAACGCGAAAGTTAATAATAAAGTTCGTTGACCATAATTAAGAGCACGTCTCAAATTAAATAAATAATAAATTCGTAAATTTTTGAAAGAATAATTAAAAATTCGATGTTAATCTAAAAATGAATTCCATTTTGCTAGGAGTTTCCTGCATATAAATTTTGAACTGTTGTAACACAAATTTCAAATTAATCTTTGAGCAATTCTCAAATCTATTTTAAATTTATCTAGAAACGAAATATGTGGGTGAAGATAATTCACGAGAACAGTCCAAATAAATTCTGTGAAGAGTTATACGAGTTTGCATGGCAGTTAGTACAGAGACAAATAATGCTAGGTTTGTAATGACTCATTTAACCTACTGATCCTTTCGGCTCAATTGCATTTGGTTTTACGCTTAATAATACAATAATACGCTCAACCGGGAATATTTTAATAATTCCGGGAAATGTTATGAGACCGGAAATATTATGTAAAGCAAAAATTCTTAATTTGTATTAAATGTAAATTATAAAGCATAGTAAAAAAATTATTCAGAATTTTACGAAAATGAAAAAAAAGGTATTTTAAAACGGGGTAACTTTGATAATTTTTCTAAAGTATATGCAAAATATTTTTTGAAAACTATTAATGATTTTCAAATATTTTTTTTTTAACAAGTGCTGAAGATACTAGAATCAATTCGTCAGTAATATGTATAATGGAAATTATTGCATTTACTTATTTTTTTTTGTCTTGTGTCCGAGCATCAGTTTTTGTTTTGTTTTGGGGTTACTAACAATGATGAATATAGAAAACATGCGTGTATCTCAAACAATTTAGTTAAATAAATACTAAGCTTGGAATTAGTATATAATCAGTAACATCATAAGTTATAAGAAGACAACATAGAATTTGTGATTGCTATATCGGAAATATATTTAATGAGTGCCTTTTCAATCTGGCAAAACTCAAGAAAGTTGGGTTTTTTTCTTCAGATAGTTAGAAAATATGTAAAACATACTATATTAAAAATATAAACGATATCAAATGTTAAACCCTAAGCTAAAAAATGGAATCAATGTTTCCAATTTGTAAATAGTCCAGAGAGTAAATCACTATATTCTACTATCAAAGCTACCTGCATTATCAAAAATACCCCGTTTTACGTTATATGAAAATCCGAAATATGATGTAGGCATGCAAAGTAATTTTCGAACTTAGTGACAACAAACGAGTGGAAAAAAATCTCAGTCAGAGATATTTAAAATGAGTTAGTATATACAATTAGGTTTAGTGTAAAAATGGAGAAAAAATTATAAAAATTATTATTTTCATACACAAGATTTGTGACTCTTCTGTTGATCCGATGGAACTAACGCAACCTAACACTAAGGTAGTAATAGAAACATAGTGTACTAAGATTTTGATGAATTAATATGATTTACAGTAACGTGGGGCAAGATGGGTCGGTTAGTACATTTATTAATTTAGTTGTCAGTCAATATCAACAGGTTCAATGCAAACGTATGATGATATTTATGTCATTGCATTGGGGCTTCATTGAGCCTGTTTATGTTGACAAACTAAAACATTAATAAGCCCAAAGCCCATCTTTTTTCGTGCCCCCTGGTTCAAAGATACTCAATTTTTTTTTCAGTTTATAATCAATTTCTTAGGCATTTTGATGTTATAAAGCTATTATAATGTTAGATTCAAGTGCCAATCTTAATCTTTCATCAAAGAGATCATAAAATGGTTTAAATTTTTGATTCCCAAGAATCCTAAGCAATTTTTATGAGTGCCATCTTACCGAGTAGGTAGTAATATAGTTAAATTCAAGGAATGTACATAATTTAAAAAAAAGCAACTCAATTTAATTACATTGGCAAAGAACAACGTTCCACTAAACATTTGAATTTGAAAAGATAATTGCTAAATAGTGAAATTTACGTGCCACAAATGAAAACATGCTCAGGATCAGCACATTTGTCTAAACCTCATCTCACTGCAGGTAAATGAGGTAGAAACTCATTTTTCTAGCATCCCACCAGACTTTATGTTTTGATTATCCAGATGCAAGTCAGTGGTTGAGTGAAGTTTCTGTAAAACGTAATGCAGGAAAATACCCTCACGCCCACTCCATAGAGAATGTGAATACACCCGGTAACCTGTGATATTCGTGTACTCACTCGAAATGATGCATAAAATAAATCATCGCTACCGTGCAGGGTGAAGGGCGAAACAGAAGGCAAACAATTGCAAAATGAAGAAAAGGGGAAGGGAAACAGATCTGCACATATAAATAAACATTCGAATGCAACTGAAGGTATCGGCTTAAAGCGTGCTATTTCGCAGACTCATTCGTTAGCACTATCTTGTCATCGTTTCTCACCTGCTGGCAGTCGTTCTTCTCCTTCTTTAGCAGCTGCATGAAAGATAATTGCAATTTTATTTATGTGCAAAATCGAATACGTTCATTTAAATCGTGAGCAATATGCATGATGTGGATGTCGCCGAGGAGCAGAGCTAAAGGGGATTTGTTAGGGGGTGAAGGAAGGACTCTTGACTAGTTCTAGTAGAATGGGATAGGGAAGCCTACATACTCTGGTTGGTTCAGCGTGACGATTTTTCGCTCGTGTTGAGTATGAGAGCACTGTCGAGTTGATTAAAATTCAAGTGCTGATGTTGTTATAAGTAGTAGCTCTAGCAGCATAGATAATGTTATTGTTGTACACATACTTCATGTTATAGGCACCGACTAATTAATTTGCTTCGTCTCCTTTTTTCGACGCCTTTTACCATGCTCCTTTCTTCATTTCCTCCACCTCCCCCAGTTGGTTGCCTTCCCTTTTTTATCATTCTGAATGCCGTTGGGCGTCATAAGTTTAAATATAACCTCCCATGCAGCAATAATGCTTGGAGTCAAGCTTTCCTTCGCTTTGCAGAACGACACGATCGTCTAAGACGTTGAAGCAGAGAAAGAATGCTTTTCCTTACGTTCCGTACTCGCTCGCTGGTTGGAGCCAATTTGAAGCCAATAGAAGTGGAAAAGCAATAAGGTCCTTTTCGTTTAAATAAAGTTCAAATAGGCCAATTTCGAAACGCCCTCGAGCCAAGATGACAGAGTGAAGCACAGCGTGACATGATTAAACATACCCAAAATGGGACCATTCTGAAAATTATCTTCCACTAGAAATGGAGAAGTTTCCTCTTCTTTTTTTTCGTTCTTTTTTTGGACGTGATGCAATGATGGAAGCAAGTCGCTGATTGAATATAATAATTTGACTCTCTTTCTTTACATAGAATAAGGCAGCTATGCAAAGTAGGTCAAACAGCTAATGAAGTTTTCGTTGAAATTGACTGTGATGGAGCGCAAGGTTTTTGAAAAAAAAAAAGATTGAGATTAATGATATGATGACAATTGTCTTTCATTGCATACAAATTGAATGTTCTTATTGTTTATTCAATTTAGCCCTAACTCTTTAATAAATAATAATCGGTTGACGTTCCTACAAAGTAGCTATCTAACATAAGATTGTATTAAAATATCCTTGGAATTTCGTGCATGATTGGTAACGTAAGGTCGCCATTATTCCCTCAACTACTTAAATTCTCCGAAAGATTCTTACGACTCATATTGAATTTACTTTTGAGCTTCCACCGGAAGTATCTCCAGAGTTCCCCCGGAAATTTTAAGCGATTTCCTGTTGTGGGGGTTAACCTCCGCATATAACTATAACTATCATCATTGGGAGTAGCAACAGGTACATTTTATATTTATTGCTGCCATTCGCATGATAAGAGAGTGCACTAAAGTTCATATTTTATAGTAAACCTCTCACTGTGCATCGGCTTGTACCGTTGGCCAAAGTACTAAAATTGACCTTTACGCCGACGTATTTTGTGTCGGTGGTGGCGTGAGCACAATTTTTGCCCGGCTGCGGCGGCGTGCATCGGCGTGCAGAATAGTTACCTATGCTAACTAACAATCTTTGTTGCATGACTATTTAGGTATTCAAATAACAAAACAGTTGTTATGATTTTTATGTGACTTATTTCAGTCACAATAGAGTTGCTGGAGCTTTTCGAAACCGAAGTGTGCTACTTAGGAAATATTTGCAAGTAGCATAAATCTAGATTCAATGAACGGAGGTCTTTGTGCTAGAGCTAGATTGTTTTCAAAAACTAACTATTTAGTTGCAGTATTTACCAGACGTAAACAAAATGATCAATGGACGATATTTCTCAACAAATAAGTCAATGCCAACTAGTTCATGGATTATGGTCTCAATATTTCAATGTCTTAGAATTAGAAGTTAGATAAAATGTGATTTTTAAGTATTCTTGTACCTTTTCATTTGACGAATGAAACTTTAGGTTGGCATGAACAAATTAGTGACGAGGATTTATCAGGACTCGACCGGGTTGGAAAATATTGGAAAGCTTAGTGATGGTAGATGTTGCTTTTATAATTTTTAGGGCGAAGACTCTGAACATTTATTGTGTCATTGCATTGCTCTATTCAATAAACGATGCAGATTTCTGGATAAAGAACCTGGAGAAATCTGAACTATTATGCCCAATAAAGTTGTAAACTTCATTCGAAGTGCAATTCCATGTTGGAATAATGCCGATAATCAACGATGAAGAACACTCTTGTTGGTTGGTCATCAATACACACGGCAAACAGCAAAAACAGAATACACCATAATAGTTCAAAACACTGGTCGCAGTGGAAAATGTACCTGACAAGGAAAAAAAAGTATACAAAAAAAACATTGCTACATTTAAGTTAATTCAATCAAATTCCGGAATATTGTCCATAATCTCGAGTTTTCGGCGTAATCTCAGATTTTTTATAAATCCTAGATCTTTAAAACTCCCCCAGATCCAATAAATCTTCCTTATTTTAGAGCTTTTCTTTCAAAATTTCTATAATTCTTAAACAATTTTTTGATGTAAACTTTCACTTTCCTAAACTCTGCCTAATCTACCTCTCGTTCAAATGAATTTCGGCTAAATGGCGTTCAACCTACGGTAAAGGTGGGTAATTCGTGAATCTGATTATAACTCCAAATCAATCCTTTTCACATCTAGAGCAGGGGAGAACAACCCATAATGAACTCCTGATGTTAAATGTCCACTTATAGAAAAACAAAGATAACCTTCCTCAGATCCGGAGGTATGGGGTTGCACAAATAATTCCTGATCATGAAATCATATATTGACATACTGATTCTTTAAAAACAATGCAAAACAAGGAACAGTTGTTAAAATCATCGGCTACAAATTAAGCTTTTAACAGCATATATCGGAAAGGAATTGAACGAATTCACTTTTTGTCTATGTTTTATATGATTTATTTTAACAATTTAACACTCTATTGAGATCTTTTTTTCTGATGTAAAATAAAAGAATACTTATTTGAAGTACATCATGCCTTTGTATTATCTTCTAGCAGGTTATGGATTGTTTCTATCAAGCAGTGCATTTCACCCCAATATTGTGCTGCATTTTGTCCATTGTTGTCGTGCGTCTTTCTTCAATGTTGTGGTCCATATTGTACCATGAATCACGAAGAAGACTCATCGGAAGACACCGGTAACATCCCACTGAATGGATTGCTCCCTAATTGGAAACCTCATTAGCAACCGATATTGGTGAAGTTTAGAAGCATCACAACTTTTCAGTGAATCTGCCCCCGTCATAAGTAGGTCGTTTAATACTAATGCACCTAACCAGCATAATAGTAACCGCAACGTCACGCTCAACCAACCAATGCTTGAGGTTTGCTCTCTTTACCATATCCAGTATACTCACGTTTCATTTGAATGAAGTTAAGATTATCGATCGCCCGAATAACCGAGCTGTCGTCCAGCGTGAGATCGATGATGGGAGACACCCGGGGCGCGGCATTCGTCACCTCCTGATGCCACGTCATGTCGGTGTTCGCTACCCTGTTAATCAGCATCGAGCCAACCTGTAGAGTGGAAAAGAGAGGAAAAATATATGTTGAGGATTGTTTGTGTTACACGCGCGTACGGCATAGGCAAACCGCATGTGATTTATCATCAGCCACCACACCAGGCACCACCATCGCCTTCATCATCTCGTCGGTTATCCGTCAGCATAGTGTGACGAATCCTCGACGCGTGTGAAAAAGGTTCAACAAGTCCATTGAGAAGTGGTGTTGATTAGCTTTAGCAACGGTTTGAAACTTGCCAATAAGTTGAAGTTGAAGTTAAAGAAGGTGAGGAGCTTGAAAAGGTGCTGGCTGGTTGGGCCCCTGCGATAATCTACAACTCACCAGCACCACCTAACGACATCGAAGGTCGCCGCTGATTGTGTTCTCATTCCATTGCTGACCTTTCTGTCGTCAGAAATGTTAGCTATCTATAATCCGGCGACATGATTTTAGCCATACAAGGAAGAGGCGTTGAAAGTGCCTATCAAAATAGATTGGCTCGAACATTGGACGCTTGCATACGTTTTTCGGACACACAACCGAGAAGTGAGACCTACCAGGTTTGAACGATTTCGGTACACAATGGTGCAGGTATGTCACGTTTGCTGGACCAAACCGAAATTCCGAACCCAGGCAATACTGATTGGGACACATGTCTTTAAGTGCATACTGGTGGTTGCTAGCAAGAAGCGATGATTGAATGCGGTCGTGATCCGTATCTCCTTTGTTTGTTCAATAAAATTGGACATGCATTCGATTGCCATAATTTTCACCATCCAAATTCATGTTCATATGTCAAGATAAGTAGGACAAGTAACACAACTTCAAGAGTGAATTTCAGAATAGGAGACAAATCTCTATTTGGTGCATTCATAAACGTTCAGTGTTATAATGACCCTGGGACTGCCATCATACTTGTTCTGTTTGAAAAACTTGTTGAACTGAGTTCCAGAAATCTCCTGTACAATTTTTATCAACCACATCGAAACGATAATTTAATATAGCCACACGTGGTTCGTTTCATTTCCGTTCCCGGTCCAATTTCGCTAACATCGTTTTGCTTTCCACACCATCATAAAGCGAAATGGCCACCGGAAACACCAAACATAAGGATATTTATTCACACACAAATCATAAAATACATTTAATATGTTCTCGTTCGCGTGGTCCATTCGTAGAACTGCATGTGCTGCATGAGCATATCTATGGCTGAAGATATCGTCGGGTTCATGCAATACTGGCACAACTCAAAATTTCCCATTTTGCCGTTTTTCGGTTAAAAGCATACAAAATCCAAATAATGTCACTTTATAACAACTTATTTTCCAAGGCCGGACATTCAGCTAGCGTTGGATTGACAAAGTGAAATTTTTGATGAATTTTATTTTGAGCTATGACAGTATTGCATGAACCAGACGATGTGTACGAATATGTATGAACCGTACAGCCTTTGTCCCGTAGCTGGAGCCAATTGAGGCCCGTCCAAATAAACACAGCCAGTCCTCCTATGAGGACAAAGAACAGGAAAATACAAAGTACAAAAAGACCGGAAAATTCCTTCCGATATGTGACTGTTGACCGTAAATCTCTTTGTTTCCCACAAACAGCTTTTTTCACGCCGTACAATCTGGCAAAAGTCCTGCGTCCCGCTAGTTGGAGCTTTCGGCAACGGTAGTCGATGGTAGGTAGATGGTTTTTATTCGATTCACTGTTTTTCAATGCAAGCAAGGATGCTGGAATGTAGAATGGTAGATTTTTTTAGATCGCCTTATGTGCGTTTATGTTGCCTACGGTCGATTTTCCTTTTGACGATGCACCATAAAAATCAAAAAAGATTTATTTTTACAAAGCTAATAAATGGGTTAAGTGATCAACCTCCAATCAGATAACCCAACCCGACTACTCAGAAGTAACAGAGACTCCTTACTACTGCGCACAATGGAGCAGAATGGTACTTTTATTGGGCAAAAATCGTAGCACTCCACCAAGGTTTGGTGTCTTTGGTTAAGTTATATTTTGAGATGGTTAAGGACCTAATTAGTTTAGTTTGAGATCACGTCAATCAGATGGCGCTAGGTTCGGAAAAATTCAAAAACTCAAACCTTATGCATGATTTTATGCGCCTATGAGTTTTGCCTTGCACAATTCAACATCGCATAAATCACCGATGAGTTTTCAGGTTCAAACATTATTTTCTTTATAGTTTGGCGTTATTCATTATTATTACTATTGTTTGTGTATCAGTGGTTGGAAATATAATACAACATGCATAAGCATGCTATCAATTAACGTTTGAGTGGTTTTTATAAGTTTATAGCTGAAATGATGTTTCGGCGTTGTGAGTGTGAGTGTGTGCATATGCAGGAGAATCTCAAGCGTGAATTTTGTTTACCGCATTGCACACAAGTTTATTCTCGCAAGGAGACTCAATGAATGGGATTTGCGAATGATTTTCGGAACACTGGCAAGGACTATCCTTTTTTATGTTATTTTCAGCTATTTTCTACAAAGTGTAATAAAAAAGTCTTGATGTACCCGGTCTAGTACAAAAGTTCAAATTTGGCACACTTGTTGATAACCTCTTTTTTTCCTTCATTTGTTTTCCGTCGATCTTGTTTTCCGTGCTTAGCGCCAACGCTACCGACGACAGGAAGGCAGCTCCCACACCTGTACCCTACCTATCGACCCATCAACTCATGAACCGGGGACCAACGGCTTTACTTCCCTTCCGAAGGGAACAGAACAGATTGAACCCAGGCCTGCTGGGGTGAGAGGTAATCACGCTTACCACTACATCACCAATACCGCTGTTGGTAGCCTCAATACACGTAGAAAAAAATTAAAGGGTTGTGTCCTAGACACGACCGCAGTATGACGTAGAACCACACAAAATTGATGTTTTTCATTAATTTTTGACTGTTATACTTTATCTTAAAATTTTCAAGTATTTCAATGTTTCGGTTATGGTTCACTCAAAACACATTTTTCTTGACAAATATCCATGTGAAATTCCACATGATCTTCACACATAAACAGAATCCACTCAGAAGTACACATGAAATTTATACGCAAATGAATAGTATGTGTGGTCACGCATGGTTTTTATATGTACAAATATTAAGTATGTGACCGAAACATAGATATTGATTTGTTGATCACGTTGCAACAATTCATGTGTGGAACACATAAAAACTCCAGAACAAGATCCTTAGGATGATCCTAAACAGTCCTCCACGGACCCGAAATTCTGAGGTCTACCGCCTGGCTGGCCATCAGCCTCTCGAAGAGCGACGAACGGTCTCCTTGGAAAGGTTCAGAGACACCTGTCTGAGATCAGATCTTCAGATCATACGTGATCTGGCACGTTAGTTAAGTTAGACTCGTAGTTAGGTAGGTTATCAGGGGGTTTTACATGCACGTTTTTTCAAGTCTCATTCCTCATTGCGGTGGACACGCCGTGATCCACCTATAGCCGCTGACTTAGTCCTGCTTGCTGCAGGACCTAGTGCCACGCCGTCCGAAACGGTAATGAGCAGAGGCAGGAGAGCAGCGCTGATTTATATCTTTTCAGGTTCAAGCAGAATGATGTGCAACCAAGTGGTATTCATTTATGATGACTGGGTTTGGGAAAAAGGCTTATTTCATGAAAACAGTGATACAATTATCATTTGTACATTTTCAAAAGATTAATTACAGATTAATTGAAAAAAAATTTATTTCAGCAGGTTCGTAATGTAATATCCTATCGATTTGCGTACTTGGATTTTAATTTCATCTATGAATGACAAAGTTACAAGCTTTCAAAACCTAACACTCTTTAACCACACATATTTTTGATTTGTACCCCAGTATAGTCGACAAAGACGTAGTTCTACGTCAAAAAACAGTGGGGCTCAGGGGGTTATGATCCGCCGTATCGGCCCACCCTAATGCACATAAAAGAATAATACGATTGGTTGGTTGTCTTTATTAAGGAGATTTTCAGCCAGACGCTGGTTCATCTCCGCTATATAATACGATTGTTTAAATATAATAAATTGCTTGATTCAAATCCAAATATCTCAAATATATCTAAATATACCTCTGAGATGTTTTGAGGAATAATATTCAATTTGACGTTCATTTTGAATAACTGACAGCATTTTGATATTTATTTAGAACATTCTTAAAATAAAATTATGGTTCAAAAAAAAAATTTGCTGTTCCAAAACCGATCAACAAAAAATGATAAAAAAATTCATTTGAACGATTTCATAAAACTTAAAACGTGAATTTCAGACAAATAGTGTCAGAGCGTTATTAATTATATCATGCTATTTAATTCCTGGCCCACTGTACATTGGTAAGAAACAAACTTGAAAGAGGACGTTATTATGTTTTGGAAATTTAAAAGCAGTTTTTTTGATCAAATCCAAAACAACGCTCATTAAAATGTGTTCATTGAATTCTACTTGTGTTTTATGTTTCTTTTAATTTTTTGTGATATTTACGATGCGCGCGACAAGCTACACGGCTCAACAAATTCGAGCGTTTCATTTTTTTTTTGTCTCATCGCATTGCTCTCTCAATGCGACGCATGTATTTAATCACATGCGACTGTTTCATTGAAACATCTCAATGCGCTCTCTCAGGGCGCCATCGCCATGCGCTGTTTCGCATACCTTGACTCTCGCGGTCCCATCATATGTGATGTTGCCGGGTGACGAGAGAAGGGACTGCAAGGGTTTGTTCACAGAAGCATTGTGTGCCCTTCTCACATGTGGCTTTTGAAATGGGGTGAAGTTTTTAGATGGTTCCAGAAATATCTTCTAGTATAGATTCAAGCAGACTCAACACTTGGTTCCAGAGATATACTGGAATCACCGTAAGATCACCACTCATGCTCCTAGGAAGACGTAATTGCTTGTCGAAAGGATGCTAATGGAAGGTCAAAGAAGACTACGTGAGCGTTGGATGGCAACCTTACGGTAGTTGGGATACTGTTAGCATGTTAGCACCCCAAATAATACCGGAAT